TCCGAAGCAGGCTCCGGGCTCCCAGCTGTCAGCCCAGAGCCCGACGCGGGGCTCGAACCCACGAGCCGCGAGATCATGACCTGAGCCGGAGTCGGCCGCCCAACCGACTGAGCCACCCAGGCGCCCCTGATTCTGATGAAATTTAAAGTGGGGTTTGTGAGGAAACGGCTAAGAGAGAATCCTTGAGGCATTTTGGGGGCCAAAAGGTGGTCTTATCATAGCAGGGGGACAGGACCCGTGGGCAGAAATGGCTGTGCTGGGATTGGGAAGAGTGAACCCGATTATATACTTTGAAGTTTGTGGAGGGAGAGGGCATAGAGAAAAAGTCGGTTTCCAAGGAATCTCTGGATGCTGAGACCGAGGTCTTACAGGACCCTGAGGATTTAGCTATTGTCAAGACAAGGTTGCTTTTAGTTTTTAATGACATGGAAACATCAAGGCATTAAGGCAGCCAGAAACTTCTTGAGGGATGGTAGGCACTGCAGGTCTCTGGAAACTATCAGTGGGCTGCAAGTCTTAAGGAGATATAATTTAAACTACATTCTTCCTGCCTTTGTTTCCCTCATCAGTTTGATATTTATCTAGTTGTGTTTGAGGGAGGAGGCAAGCTTAGGGTCCCCGTATTCCTCCGCCATCTTACCTCCTCTCCTCATGAACCTTATACTTTTAAATAAAACAACAGTGAAGCACAGTATTTTTAGCTTTTTTAATTCTATTTAAGTCCTGAATTTGCAGTACGATTTTAATTTTGCCTCCAAAATCATATATGGAAGATAAACTATTTTTAATCCATATCTAATGAAGAATGTGAATAGAAGAAAGTGTTAGACAAAAAACTAAGGTATTTCCCTCAAGATCTTTTTTTTGCTTCTCTGCCAATCTCTGTCTCTCATGTGAGAAGTGAATACCCACCTGGCATCCCACACGTGTGACGGCCGAAGCCACCCAGCAGCTGCGTAAGCGTCCCTCCTTTGAAATGTCCAGTATTTAAATATGAACACCCGAATAGTTAATAATAAAATTCCAGCGTTGTTAACATTTTCAAGCAGGATTTTACTTTCAGTAGCCCAGAAACATAGTCTAATGGTATTGGACTTCAGCATTAACTTCAGTTGAGTATTTTAGCTTTCACCTGTTGGGTATTTGATCAAAATGTGTTGGAGCTGCACCTCTGTTCATTGACATTATTTGAATAAAATGAATTAGAACCGACTGAATGAAAAACATCAATTCGTGGTAAGTAGTAAGGGTAAATACTGGTCTGTGAATTTTCTGATTCCATTTGTAGATGTATGCAGCCACGCTGGGTTATGTTACAACAAGCATTTCTGATTGAGGGTCATGGTGAAGACTTTGAAATCCCTTGAACGGGGGTGCCTGGCAGAGCACGGGAGAATAGGCAGTAAATTCTGGAATTGCGAACAAAAGTTAGTGACGCCCAGTTTGGGGATTTATTTATTTATTTTTTGTAAGGGACTGCACGTGTGCGACCTGCACAGTTAATGAGAAATACAGTAGCATTAGAAGTTAAGGGGCGCCTGGGTGGCGCAGTCGGTTGGGCGTCCGACTTCAACCAGGTCACGATCTCGCGGTCCGTGAGTTCGAGCCCCGCGTCGGGCCCTGGGCTGATGGCTCAGAGCCTGGAGCCTGTTTCCGATTCTGTGTCTCTCCCTCTCTCTGCCCCTCCCCTGTTCATGCTCTCTCTCTGTCCCAAAAATAAATAAAAATTAAAAAAAAAAAAAGAACTCCTGACCACAGAAAACAAGAGCTTTCATTCCTTCTCTCATCAAATATTTAAAAAAAAAAAAAAAAGAAGTTAAGCATATGTGGGAGGAAGGTAGGAATCAAAAGTGAGATCACGGTGCCCGGGTGGCTCCGTCGGTTGAGCATCCAGCTTTTGATTTCGGCTCAGGTCATGATCCCAGGGTCATGGGATCAAGTCCTGCGTCGGGCTCCGCACTGAGCGAGGAACCTGCTCGAGATTCTCTCGCGCCCTCTGCCCCTTGCTCCCCTCTAAAAATTTTTTTTTCAATAGTGAAGTAATATAAAATGGCCAGGAAAAATTGGAGAGGTAAGAACATAGGGATCGTGTTAGCTAATAATAGGGATAATGATGATAATATGCCAGATTTCTCCATATTTCTGGTGGTTAGCACAGCAGTTTCTCCTGTGTTTTTTCTAGTGTAGTTGATTCTTACAACAGCCTAATGGGAAGGACGGAGCGGGCATTGATAGCCCCATGTTGTAGATAAGGAAAGATTCAGTGACTTCCTTACAGATCCACAGCTGGGAAGGAGTACACGTGTGTCTTCATTTCAAATGCCTTATGATTTTGTGCTCTTAGGAACAGAAGAGACCAGTTGAGAAGTGAAGGGTGGCACCCAGGTGTCTGAGGAAACCGAGTACGACACGTGCTCTCTGGCTCTTGGTGCTCCCCGAGGCACTGTTTCGGATTCGTGCCTGCTGTGTGCCTGGAGGACCATCCAGAAGCGAACTTGCCCTCCTCATTCTCCAGGGTGTCCGAGGAAAGAGACAAGCCAGGCGTAGAAATAAGAGGGGTGGCAGGAGGGAGGAAGAGTGGCTTCTGAAATCTCGGAGGCGGGGGCTGCCTTGGGTGGGCGAGCTTGAACTCTGAGTTCGGTAGATGCAGTTGGAAGTTCATGGCGATGATTTTGCTGTTTTCTGACTCTAATAGAAATTTTAAAGAATTGTCTCTGTTTCATCGTTTACAAAGGACTTTCACACTTAAGTATCTCATGTGTTCATCACAGGAAACTTTGGGTATGTTTTATAGATGAGGAAACTGAGGCTTAGTGAGGCTAAATAATTCATTCACATGTGGATTGTAAGACGTTCAAAGGACTCAAAACGGAGCCTTTCTCTTGCAGTGGCTGTGTTCCATCCCCTTCACTCAGCTGACCTCCCAAAACCACTGCCTAGTGTTTACGTGGCTAAGTTGGCAGTTATAGATTATCTGCTGAGGAGGTTGAAGAGATAGGGCAGCATTTTTGAAGCCCGTCTGAAATAACATCTTTTTATTCACTTAGTAAAACTGACTTTTGGCAAATGCAGGGTACTTTTATTTTTGGGTTCTCTTGGATTTCACCATAAATTTCTAAAAAAAAAAAAAACACCCAAAAGCCCATAGTTTGAATCTGTGTAAGAATGGACCATAATGAGCTTTTTATGAAATATCTGGATAGAGACCTTTTTTTTTTTTTAATTAACATAAAGGAGAACACAGTCTGTGAAAACCACATCCCTTGGTACAAGTGAGCCGTGATACGAGCAGGTGGAGCTGAGCGCCTGGGTGCTGCGTCACTCACACCTTCGTGCGTGAAGACGCCCAGGGGGGAGCTCCCCGTAGTGACGTGTGAATGCACAGCAGTGGGGTGGGAGGGAGTAGTTGGAGCGATTTCATCAGAAGGTCCATAGGAGAGAGGCTTTGGTTTGGGGTTTCGAAATGAGGAGAGCGCCCTGCCGAGTGGCAGTGAGGGATTTCCAGTTAGCAGTAGACTGGCCTGAGGATGGGAAAGGGGAGGCCACTGGTCATTGGGTGTGGTTGGGTGGAGGGCTGGATGGGGTGGAGGACAGGCTGAGGGCAGGGGTGCTGGAAGTGGAGGTGACCAGTGGATGGTGTCCCATTAATTCGGGGCCTAGATGGTCTTAAGTGGTAGTAGGGTGGATGGGTGGAGTGTCTTTGGTTGCTCCTAAGTTATCAGATGGCTACATTGTCCTTACCATGCACAACCGCCCAACCCTCTCCTACTCGCCCCTGCTGTAGACTCTCTCCTTTACTCCCCTGCACTTATTACTTCTTCCACTCCACAAAAAGCCTCTCCCGAGGCAAGCCCCTCTCTCCTTGATGGGTGAATCACTCACCCATTCCACTCACCAACCTTTGTACGTCCTCATAATGTAGACGCCAATACGATTTACTTGGTGCTACAGCGTTCATCACTTTCAAGGGATTTCAGTCACTTTCCAAAAATGTTTCTCTGACGTGATCATGAGAACAGGTTTCCGTTTTCCCATCTGGCCAACCTGGAACTTCTACGGAAAAGATCCTGAATTCAAGCCTAGTGAGTTTTATGGAAGCTCCCATCTCTGAGATCCACTGAGTTATGGTGTTTAGGATGCAAGGAACTTGAGTTGCCAGGGAAGGATTTACTTCAGCTTGGGTTTAGATGTGTGTAGCTCTAGGTGGGTGAAGGGGAAACCCCACGTCCAAAACAAGGACATTACAGATTACATTTAAAACGTTAGCCCTGTCCCGGAGCAGCCTCCCCAGGTTAATCACTCCTTCTGTCCTGATCTCATTCTGCCCACATGGCACATCCACTCCCCAGAAGTTCCTTCCGTGTTGACGTCCCATGCTGTCCGTGTCCACGCTCCAGGGAAATGTGTCCCTTTCTCCAGTGACTGAATCTGGAATGCCTTTGTTCTCTCTGACCCACCCACTGCTGTAGTAAGTTCTAGAATTTTAACTCTAGGGACTGTGGGCCCTTCTCTGCTTTCACTCTCCAGCAAATCTTATAAGACCCTCCATTGAAGTGGGCCCATCTTGTCAGGAAAGCTTCCTGCCAGCGGCCCGGAGCAGAGCATCCTTGACCTCCTTGTTCCTCAGGGTATACACCACCGGGTTCAGCAGGGGGGTGATGACGGTGTAGGTCACCGCGATCAGCTGGTCCTGATCCCTGGTGTTCTCCGACTTGGGCTTGAGGTAGGCGACGGAGGCACAGCCGTAGTGGACGACGACCACCGTGAGGTGAGAGGCGCAGGTGGCAAAGGCCTTCTTCCGGCCCCGGGCGGAGGGGATCTTGAGGATGGTGGAGACGATGAGGACGTAGGAGATGAAGACCAGGCCCATGGGGACCAGGATCACCAGCACGCTGATGATCACGGTCAGGGTCTCGTTGACCGAGGTGTCGACGCAGGAGAGCTTCATTACAGGTCGGATGTCACAGAAGAAGTGGGCCACCTTCGTAGCACAGAAAGGCAACCTGAACACAGATGTCACTTGCGTCGTCGCCACGATCAGCCCGATGCCGCAGGCGCCCCCCCACCAACTGCACACACACCCTCTTGTTCATGATGACCGTGTACCTCAAGGGGTTGCAGATGGCCACGTAGCGGTCGTACCCCATCGCCGTGAGCAGGAAGCAGTTGTTGATGGCCAAGGTGATGAAGAAGAACATCTGGGTGGCACAGCCAGCCCAGGAGATGGGCTGACTCAGGCCTACAAGGTTACAAAGCATTTTGGGTATAATGACGAGTGTATATACGGTCTCTGAAGCGGACAGCATGCTCAGGAAGAAGTACGTGGGCGTGTGGAGGTGACGATCCACACTAATGATGGTCACGATGACGATGACGACGTGGCCGGCCAGGGTTACGACATACAGCGCAAGGAACACGACAAACAGGCTGAGCTGGTGCTCGTGGAAGCTGGAGAAGCCCTGGAAAGTAAACTCACTCACCCAAGTGTGATTCTCTGTCTTCATCAAATCGTACGTGGGATCTAAGAAAGAAAAAACCATGTAAGGGACCTAGACGCGTGACTTCTGTCAGCTAGGCTGGGCAAGTTCTTGTAGTTAATCTGCCTCGGGCTTTGCTTGTTGATATGCACGTTCATGTTTATTCCTTGGGGGAACAGAGAGTGGAAGAACGTCATTTTCTCACTAAGAGAAGGAAGGTGGCTTTTCGAGTTTACTGCTGGAAAGATATCCTACTTCCAACACGTGCCCACTTGTCTCGGGTAAGGAATTAGCATCTCTTAGACCAGTCTCATCATCTTGATCCGAGTGTAGCGATGGGGATGTTACAGAATTGTTCAGATGAGCATGATACTTAACAGTGTAAGCGTTTCTGTTGGAATTCAGACAATTATCGAATACATCCTGGCTCAGTGGTGTCCTGCCGAGCTCCAGGGTCTGCGGCCACCAGCAGAGCTGCTAGGGTTTGGCTGGATCACCTGCCACCGTGGTCCCCTCCCCACGCCGCAGCTCTGCGGGTCCCGTCCCCCTCAACCTTTGCCCTCCGGGCCTCTTCCCGAGGCACTACTCATTTTTCAAAGCTACCCAAAGCCCGTGACACCGATGAAACCCTTTCCTTTCTTCTCCACCCCACCGCCCCTTCTGGCTTCCGCTTCCTTCCACAGGTAGGTAGCACAGAGCTGTTTACTGGCTCTTTTGTCTGGAAAGCACCTTACACTGGATTTGTGATTACCAAAGACATTTACATCCTTTCATTTCATTCCCATCCGGTGGAATGGGGAGAACAAGGAATACGGGTTGTCTTCAGATACAGAAACTCTTTCGGGAATTGCCCCGGGACACCTATCAGCCCGAGCCCATGGCTTCTGATCCTGTCTCCAATGTCCCTCCCGCTACCCAAAACTGCAAAGTAGACCTGCCCCACCAGGGCGAGATTATATGGTCTCTGAGAATAGGGACCGTGTGGCCACTGAAATTGGGGCGTAATATCTGCTGGCAGAGTCATTACCGGTCCTGCCCCACCAGATACATTGCCTGGGAGGAAGCAGAATGCTGGAGTGAAGAAAACCACAGTGAGGTTTTCTTCAGAGAAGAGGAGTAAATGTTTTTACACCGTCTCCTTTTCCCTGCTGTCTGTGCGCGTGACATCAGCAAAGAGCCACAGCACTGGGCTAAATTTTAACACTGAGATTATAAGCCTAGGAGAAAGCATGACACTACTAACATTTAATTGGAAAATACACCGTGGTGCAGCTCGTCCAAAGGCTCTACCCGATTACCAACCAACATGTAATTATGTAACCAAGTGGCTATAAAAAAAATAAATTCGGTAATGGAAACGATGGAGTTGCCTAAAAAGTACATTTTTGCCAGAAGTAAAGCGAATCACCCACATCGCAAAATGGTTTACTATCGGGTAAAAAAACAAAGGTAGGCTTTTCGAGTACTTTTAACATTAACCGACTTCTCAGAAACACACCATTTTTAATAAAGAAAATCTGCAAAAAGATACAAGAGATTGACACAGTTACGCCTTGAACCCCTTGGAGCAAGCATGTTACGAAAGAAAATGGCATGAGGTTGCAAAAAAACAGTGCAGTTTCACAGACCATTTCTTAAAAAAAAAATTTTTTTTAATGTTTATTTATTTTTGAGAGAGAGAGACAGAGCACAGCAGGGGAGGGGCAGAGCGAGAGGGAGAGGGAGACACAGAACCGGAAGCAGGCTCCAGGCTCCGAGCTGTCAGCACAGAGCCCGACGTGGGGCTCGAACCCACAAACTGTGAGCTCATGACCTGAGCCGAATTTGGACACTCCACCGACTGAGCCACCCAGGTGCCCCTCACGGACCATTTCTTGACAAGGGAGGTGGTTTGGCATTGATGTGTGCACCGTGGTAAGAAACTTAAACCTGCTCCACCAAGCTTTGTCAACAGTGTCTCTGGATTATGATCTGTTAATAGAACGTAGCCAAGGAATCATAGCTCATAAGTGGCAGCCTCCGTTCTTTATTGGCCAAGGTACGCTTTAATCCTGGGAAGCCAGGATTCCTTAGGGTTAGCAAGGCATCTTTGAAAGTGACAGATATTCGTAGACACCAGGACCCTTTGTAGTTTAATTTAACCCTCTAACGATAATCATGGCCCTTTGTAAACCGTGGAAGTCTTTTTTGAAATCTCACTTACTTTTCTTCCTGCAAACCTGTGGCTCAACAGAAAAATGAAAGTAGAGGTCAGAGATGTGGCCCATTGGTCACAAGTATTCACAAGTCAAGGTCATGAAGCAAAGACAGTGTGGTCCTTCCACCTGCACTAGGGCCAGTCCAGGGATGGCAGGGGAAGGAAGGTCACAGGGGCTCCTTGGATACTAGATATCCCCTCCAGCTGGAGGAGGAGCTTTTAACCAAGAAAGGCTCTCTGAGGACCATCTCTTGAGGTTTCTGGGTGCCCTCCCCTGGGCACCCGTGAAAGCCACACCGGGGCTGGAAGGAAGCCAACAGCCAGCGGCCGGGGACCTTGTTTTGTGTGGGGCTCATTTCCCGCATCACCTGGGTCTGTGCTGCGGCACTTTGGGAGTAGAGACAGCAGTGGCTTATTTGTCAGGCTTCATTTTTTAAATAAATATTCTATTTTTATACGGTTGGGCCTTGAAAAACCATGGTTACAAAGCCCCAGTGAGCTCGAGCTAAGAGCCGCTGCTTGGATTCCAGGAAACTGCACAGTTCTCCCTGTAGTCAAGAGCCCTGCTCGGTATTAGAAGCTGGGTTTTTTTTGTTGTTGTTGTTGCTTTTTTTTCCTTTCCTTTTCTGGAACCAAAACAGTCAAATATGACTATATTTGTTGTCCTGTGAGGTTCAGAAGTGGGAGAGTAAAGCTCAACGGACCTTTCTAGAAGGCCAGGAGACCCACTGCAAGCATCCAAACAAATGCGAGCCGGGATTTCAGCCTCAGGGACCCAGGCAGACAGTCAGACACGCTGGGCCTCCTGAGCCCAGCTCCTCACCGCTTTCCCTGCCCCAATTCCGTGCACTTTTTCTCCCGAGAGTGTCTTATTCTATTTTTCTCTTTTATATTGTTAAAAGATAAACCGCGACGTATTGAAAACGTGAAGCTTATTTGAGCAAAAATCAAGTCTGGCAATGACAAATGGGAAGTGGTTAGGAGTGCCCAACCAGCAGGAACCCGGGGAGACTTTTCTAGAGAAGAGGTGGAAACACGGGGAGCATCGAGTGGCTGCAGCTTGAAGCCTACTTGGCCCTTTGTGATTGGTTATCCTTAGTATTTTGATTTTGTAACTGTGAGGCGTTTACAGGCTCAGATTTGGGTTCGTTTCTGGAGGCGCCACGGTGGTCCAGCCAGCCAGTCTGTGGCCTCCGTGTTTAATTAATCTAACAGAGATTCCCTTATTGGTCCCTGGCCAGATCCTGATGGCACTCTTCCAAGTGGAGTTTTCTACACTCAGCAAAAATGAAGGGCTTATATTCATATCTTTTTTTAAAATATTTTTTAATGTTTATTTATTCTTGAGAGAGAGAGCGCAAGTGTGAGCAGGGGAGGGGCAGAGAGAGAGGGAGACGCAGAATCGGAAGCAGGATGCAGGCTCCGAGCTGTCAGCACAGAGCCCGACCCGGGGCTTGAACCCACGAGCCGTGGGATCATGACCCGAGCCGAAGTTGGACACTCGACTGACTAAGCCACGCAGGTGCCCCTATATATTTATCACTTTTTTTTTTAATTTTTTTTTCCAACGTTTATTTATTTTTGGGACAGAGAGAGACAGAGCATGAACGGGGGAGGGGCAGAGAGAGAGACACAGAATCGGAAACAGGCTCCAGGCTCCGAGCCATCAGCCCAGAGCCCGACACGGGGCTCGAACTCCCGGACCGCGAGATCGTGACCTGGCTGAAGTCGGACGCTTAACCGACTGCGCCACCCAGGCGCCCCTATTTATCACTTTTAATACACTTTATACTTAACGCTATGTTTGAAGCACGCAAATTGTGGGGCATCACATCTGGGAACTCGTCGCTCAACCCTAGGCTGTTCTCACGCATTTCTCTTGACCCCCTTCCCCCAGCCATGACTCCTTTCTAATTTTGTGTTTATTTTCGTTTATTTCATACCTTTATTGCATATATATGGGTTTAAGCAATGTGTTGTATCTATTTCTGAGCTTTATAAAAATGATCTTCTGTATATAATTTTCTGAGATTTCTTTTTTTAAATGGGTAACCAATTACCCTAGCACCTTTGTTTGAAAAGCCTCCTTTCTCCACTGGCCCACAATTCTCTCTGCCATATTTCACAATCGTATGTACGTGTGGGTTAGTTCAGGGACTCTCTCTCCAGCTCCGCTGGTCAGTTTGACCCCCTGTACCAAGATTACACTGTCTTAACAGTGATAACTTTAAAATAAATCTTAGGGGCGCCTGGGTGGCTCAGTCAGTTACGTGTCCGACTTCGGCTCAGGTCATGATCTCGTGGTCTGTGAGTTAGAGCCCCGCATCGGGCTCTGTGCTGACGGCTCAGAGCCTGGAGCCTGTTTCAGATTCTGTGTCTCCCTCTCTCTCTGACCCTCCCCCATTCATGCTGTGTCTCTCTCTGTCTCAAAAATAAATAAACGTTAAAAAAAAAAAGAAAAAAATGAAAAATAAAATAAATCTTAGTTATCAGAGAGATCAACGCCTCTTTATTTTTAAGTGGTTGCACAGTTGCTTTTCCATTTTAGGTCGGGTTTGGAACTGCATTGAATTCAAGTATGAGGGGTGAATTGATATAGGCTATCTCTCCATATATTTAAATGTCTTTAACCTTTTGTCGGACATCTTCAAGACCACCATGGAGCTAGATGATTCCGTCGGATCATGCCGAAAAGCTGTTGTAGTCATGGTTATGGTTTATCGCAGTGGGAGGGTGTGCATGTGAATCAACGGGGGGGAAGGGGCTGGAGCAAAGTCCCAGAGAGAATTGGCTTCAGCTTGTGAAGTGTCCTCTCCCGACCGAGTCCCACAGACATGTGTGAATTTCCCACCACCAGTGCATGATGATAAGTGTGAAGTGACATCATCCCGGGAATCTCACCTGAATCTTGGTGTCAAGGGTTTTTGTTAGGGGTCAGTCACGTGGTCACACAACACCTGTGTTACCAAGAGCAGGGGTTCAGCATAAAGCACATTGTTAACATAAGTTATCTCATCAGACAGGGATTTAACGCAAGGCCTCGACATATAAAACGCTTA